GTCACCCCGCTCGTGACGTCTCGCTACTCCATTGGACTGATTTGACACGTGCTTCAGAACGCGGTCACGCAAGAACGTTCCCAAAGCGACTTAGACGCAGCTCGAGTTCCTGAAGGGGAACAACTTTTACATAGACATTTTACAATTACAAAGAGTTGCATTGACACTAACATTAAAGTAACAAGTAAAGTAAAACATAAATTTTGAAATAGAATGAAATAGGATTTTCTTGTAAACTGTGATTAAAACGTATATATACTGTATGTATATATATATATATATATATGTATCATTTTTTTTATACAGTGTATGGCATCGTTGATAAACACCACTTTTGGTTCCTTTCTTTTTAAGAGTGTTAAGTTCTAGAAATGTGCAAGTTATTTAAATAAAACTTCGACAAGAGTCTCAAAGTGAAAAATCATTTCCCTTTGATAACAAAAGCTGTTACCCAACGCACTATTACAGAAAATGATTACACCTTAAAATCTATTAATTGCATCTGACGAGCCCAAAGACACCAGCAGACACAAGGGGCCTCTTTCCATCTTCTTATAACGATAATGAACAGTAAAAATCAGGGAGCCCAGGCCAACAAAATCATGGCTGCGTTTCGCTGGCTGTTTATTGGCGCTTAATGAAAAACAATTTATCTAAATCACCGCCCCGGAGGATTCATAGTTAAAGCTTGTGGAGAGAGGGGTGGGATTTTTGTCAGTGACAAATGCGCCACTGTTTTTCCAATTCAAATCCAGTTGAGGGAAGAAAACAGCCGTTTACATTTAGGGCGGATGGAGGCGAGAGAAAGAGCGAGATGATAGAGGTGAGGCGGTCTCGAGCTTATGTTTCACAGTTTGCTTACTAAATATTGTCATGTCTAGATGTCAACCATAAGTGTGCACACTTAAATTAATGTGCCCCGGAATGCTTTAGAGCCTATTTGGTTTCATTTAAACATCGAAGAAACATACGTCATATTTTTTCAAGCAGTAAAAATCCATAATGAAAATGTCTGCAATTGTTTTTAGCACTGTAATAATCCTCGAATTACAGTGAACACAGTGCCTGGCTTCCAGGTGCGAGCCCATTTAACGAGCAGGCAGACATACTTACCCTTTAATTATCACTGAGATCAGATGCAACCGCCCAGTCCAACACGAGCATAAAAAGAAACGCTTTCCATAATGCAACGTATTCAGTACCAGAATAGTTTTGCATTTGTATTTTAATTAAACACTATGCCCATCCACAGATTTTCCTCTGTGCATACATATTACCAGAATCAATTTAAGAGGAGCTTGGAAGCTAAGCTAAAGTCAGTGCTAATATGGAATTACAGTAGTTAGCGCACTCTCATTATTATTCCATTTAGAATGGAAGTAATGGTCAACCTTGACCTAGTATGAGCTTTAGTTGGTGGTCAAAAGCCTAGGAATATTTCACCTAAAAAAAATTTAAACTACATGGAAGAGAAAAAAAAAGTCATACGAGGGATTTTTATTGTTTGTGTGAAATGTTCCTTTAAATGTTGTTGAATGAGCTAAGGTGCAGGGTGCCAGATAGCAGCAAGTTCACTAAGAACTTTTCAAACTAAAATGCCTAAAATGTTATGGCTAATAATTACTTTTTACTCAGCAAGTATGCTATAGGGTTCATTCTAATACTCTCTAAACCTCTTTTCCAATTATTTTTAACACACCCTACTGTATTATAATTGATACACAAATTTATAAGGTCTAAATGATTAGCATGATCCAAGCCTCTGAAAAACATGTTGTACACAATCTACTGTTGTACATCCCTTCTGTTGTCAGATTGATAGTTTTGCATGCATTTTTAGCAAAATTATTATTTTGTTTATGTTTATTGCTCATCTCTCAATCACCATTGTATTGCATTGCACTAAAGGTTTGCCCCAAACAATAATAACTACAGAGCCCTGATTGTTTAAAGGTTCACTGAATTCATATTTAAAAATGTTTTAATAGACTATTATTTCATATGTCAGACTTTACAGGGTTAACCTTTGTGCCTTTCTATTTTTCTTAGATAATGGTGCTGACTGACCCAGAGTTTGAAAGCAGTGTTCTCATCAGCTCAGATGAAGGTTCCAGTTATCAGAAGTACCGCTTGAACTTCTTTGTCTTAAGTCTTCTTTTCCATCACACACAAGAGGACTGGGCTTTGGCCTACAGTCACGATCAGAAGGTAAGTTTTGCAGTGTACAAGCAAAAAAAAAAAGAGCCTGCAGTGGTAAATATCACAAATGACCATATTCACTTAATGAACATTCCTGGTCTTTTTGACGATGATTCATCAGTTCATGTTATTCCAAAAATAAACATTCCAAAACGGGGTTTTCACAGCAGTAGAATACATATTTTCTAAACTTTCGGTGAACTTTTTTTAAAATTGCATTATAATGTTTTTTTATATAAATGTTAACCATTAGTGAAATAGTTTTATCAAACTCACATTCACAATGGCTTTATTTTGGTATTTAATCCATTTATCCAATTAATCCTCTCTAGATAAAATAATGTCTGGCCCTACCATTTTTCTCACTGAATAGAGATTGTAGAGTGAACAAAAGGTAAGTGAACAGTGACTGGGGTTTTGTGCTTGTTTAAACTACATAGTGTAGGCTGGTTTATATTAGGCAGAATATTTTTTGTTATTATATTTAGTTGGCAAGGGTGACTAAGTCATGCTGTTTCTGCATTTAGTTTTTTTTTATTTAATTATTATTATTATATATATATTTTTTGCATTCTGGAATGCTTCTCAGATAAAATAAATCTGAAGTGCTGAATAGTGCTGAAAATTTAATAATCATTTATGAAGGACAAACCCTCCCACGAGAAAGAAAGATGAAGAGAGCAAAAAGACAGACTTTTGACTTTTAAAGGTCTCCTTTCATTTGGCAGTGATTCATTTTCATAGTCAGCCTGTAAAGAAAACCCAATAAAAAGTGTGTGAACAGAATGGACATCCAGCAAAATGAGCTGAAGCTTATAAATATATCCATATATCAAGAGAATATATCGTTGTCCAAACTTTAAATCGTTGTTTTACGATTAATTGTTTTATTGTGTCTGAATGTACGTCTACATTTATATGCAATACTGCAAGGACACATTAAATTAATCAAAAGTTACAATAAAGACAATTATAATGTTACAACAACTGATAGATACGTGGCTACAAAATATTTCTGTTTCAAAAAATGTTGTTCATTTGAGATAGTTTTCAACATCGATAATGATTCTTGAGCAGCAAATCAACAAGGATGGATCATGTGACACTGAAGACTGGAGTAATGATGCTGAAAATGCAGCTTTGCATCACAGAAATAAACTACATTTTAAAATATATTCAAATAGAAAACAGTTGTTTCAAATTCAAATAACATTTCACAATATTACCGTATTTACGATCAAATATCAATGGTGAGCTTCTTTCAAAAATAATAAAAAAAATCTCACCAACCCCAAACTTTTAAACGGTAGGTTAATGTACTATGCATGGGTGCAAAGAGAGAGAGATTATGTTGTTCTTGTAGAATGGGTTCTTTTCACTTCTGTCTCTAAACGTTTAGTGGCAAAACTTCGAACATCTCAGTCACTAGTCTCTGCACTTTCCATAATGATGTTATCCAGAGCCATACTGCAATGTGCTTGGAGACAGTCATGCTTACTCGCTCAAAAAATGACACACATTAATGCTGTGGCGACATGGCACTAAAGTGTCTCATTTTCTGAATCGACAGGGGTGGCTGACACTGTGTCCAGACTCATCACGGGCAGAGCAGAGCTGTGGATCAGGTCAACACCTGAAGCATTGTCTTATAGAGAGTTGTCAGGCTGGTCAGGTCCACTCGTTGACGATTCATTAAAAGCAGATGGTGGTTTAGGCCCAGCTTTCTCCCTTTCCTCAGAAGAACACCAGGCCTCTTACGTAAAGGAGCCTCTGGGAATCTGACAAAAGAAATAGCAATTGATCCCTGCCCACCCTCTCAGTCTGGTTAACTGAGGTTTCATTGACCAGCAAAAGTCCACAAAAGCCATTCAGTGTCTTTAATGATACGAATAGCTGGCTCTAAACGGCTGGCTTTATGCAACAGTGAGGAAGCAATAAGATCTTTTTCTAATAAGATGTGTGTGTTCATAGTGTGTGTGTGTGTGTTGTGTGTGTTCACTACTCACTGCTGTGTGTGTGCACTTGGATGGGTTTAATGCAGAGCACAAATTCCGAGTATGGGAGACCATACTTGGCTTCACGTCACTTCACTTACTGATGCAGTTGGTCTGCTGTGATTAAAGGAAACATTTACAATGGAAGTGAATGGGGCCAATTTTTTGAGGATTTCAATGCAGAAATTTGAAGTTTATAATTTTGTAAGACATTGTAGCGTTAATTCTACTAATTCCACAATTTTAGCTGTTTAAATCATTTTTACAGTTGTTTTAGGATTTATGGTCTTGCATTGTCATAGAAGTTTTAAAATGTGATATTACCACACAAAAAAATCTGTAAGTGATTTTGTCTCATTAAAGAGGATGAAATTAAAATTCTGTCATCATTTACTCACCCTCAAGTTGTTTTAAACCTTTATGAGTTTATTTCTTCTGTTAAGCACAAAAGAAGATATTCTGAAGAATGTTGGTAATTAAACAGTTGACGGTAGCCATTGACTTCCATTGCAAGGAAAACAAATACCATGCAAGTCAATGGCTACCGTCAAATGTTACCAACTTTGGTTACCAATATTCTTTAAAATATCTTCTTTTAAAACAATGATTTACTATTTATTTTAAGACGCGTAAGATTACTCATCTGTTTCAGCTCTGTCAGATCATCTTTGTTAAGAAGCTTTTCGAGAGGTTTCTGACCATGGCAGGCTACAAACAAAAGGTTTTAAATTAATTTCAAATTTGTCCAAATAAATGATAGGTTACTTGTTAAATAAAATTCATAAAGAAATCTATCTAGTACTGTGGTCTGAACCAAAAAAATAATGTTTTGTAGTCATTTGCTGAAACTATGGAGTCAAGGTTTTTCTGGTTATATAGCAAGCCTTTTTCTCCTTTGTTTGTCATTCACAAACTATCAAACCCAAACTGTTGTCTGTGTACTCTAACAAACTAACATTTTTGCTAGAAATATTTAAAAAGCAAATATTTCAGTGTCACAGTATATTGCTATTTTGTTTCTAGAGGGCCCTTAAAAGTGTGCCCTTTTCTGCTGCCTTTGACGTCACTACTCAAGATAGCCGCTAATAAAGAGCTTGAGGACTGTTTATGTTCTTGTGGTGCCATGAGCCCACCAGAGCGTTCTCCAGGTATTATAGACCCTTTCCTGGAACATATGTTTGGTGTGCAAATCTTCCAGCTTTGGGTGTGTCTGGAAGAGCCCAGCACTGATTCACCAATAGCATAGAGTTGAGAATAAAATTCAGCAGCTAAATTATGCATAGCAGATGGTTGGGAGATGACAACACTTTCATTATCTTTCAGGCACAACACTGGCTTCTCCTGTCTGATCTTTCATTTTAAATTGAAGAAAAGTGTATCATCATTGTCTCTACTAAGAAATTCAGCTGCTGTTTCTTCTTGTTGCAGGAGTTGCCTAAATAAATGACAAATAAAGTATACCCACATTCTATCATACCAGCATTTTACTCTCGATAACAGACATGTCAGTCTCAAAGTTCGCTCTAGCGTCAGCTTAACATGCCTGTTGAATGAGATTGCAAATAATTAATTTCAGCTTCAGTGACTTTGGATCATTGCAATATTCATATACGTGTTTGTTTTGTCATGCTGTTTATATCACATTATTTTATGTTGTTATTATAGGCTGTTTTATGCATCCACACTACAAAAGGAATGTACTGACATATTTTATAAGATGAACTGTGCAATTCTTATGACATTTTCTCTTCTCTGTATGAGCCTTAACAATTTTCAGATGTTTTCACAGGTTTGCTTCAAAAATGCAAGCAGTTCCAACCATAACACGTTTTTATTAGATTTACATGATAAAGATAGCGTAATATAATACATATCATTAATACTATAGCATTATAATTCATTATAAAAATCTGTATATGGGTCAAAGACATTAAGATGTCTGCATGAAAAGAAATTTACAAAAGTGATTTTATGTCCATAGAAAGCACATTAAATGTAAGCAAAGTGTCTACTTTTAAGGTTTCAAATAAGTTTCTGGAGAATAAAATGTCAAAATTTGGTTTAAATAATGTTACATTGTCATTCGGTGTAACACAATATTTATGTAAAAATTCAAACAGCATGCTTATTCTGACATGTACATATTAAAATATATAAAATAATAAGGGAGCATATTACATTTTATTGTGTTTTAAATGAGTAAAAATTCTTAGTGACAAATGGGCAAAACCTAGGATAATGGCAATTTAAAAAAAAAAGTAAAATTACAACTAATTAGTATTTGGGGTGAAAGTGATGATTTTTGGGATTGATTTTTGTTGTAAATATGCCTGACAAGATTGTTACACTGAATGACATTTTAGTGGGTCTCTTCTGTAAATCAGGGAAAACTGTATGATATTTATTTTTTGTTCAGAAAAACAATTAGAGTCCGACTCGCTAACCATTAGGCCACGACTTCCCCATTAAAGCAGTATTACACTTATTGTTTGCGTAAAAATGTCGTTTTCACAAAAATATTAAGCAGCACAAATGTTTTCAACATTGATAAAGATTCTTGAGCAGCAAATAAACATATTAGAATGATTTCTGAACGATCATGTGACACTGAAGACTGGAGTAATGATGCTGAAAATTTAGCTTTATTTCACAGACATAAACTACATTTTAAATTATATATTCAAATAGAAAACAACCGAAAATGGAAAATAATATTTCACAATGTAATTTTTTTTAATGTATTTTTGAGCAAATAAGAGTGGGCATAAGTGACTATATATACATTCTTTTATTATTATTTTTTTTTAGCCCACACCTATAACTATATCAGACAGATGAAATATATCATATAAACAAAAACCACACAAAAAAACACCATAAAGTATATTTGTTCTCATTCAACAGAATCAAATTTTGATGCTAGACTTTCTCTCCGCAAGTGGCCACTTATATCATACTTTTGTCTTTAACGTTTGACAATAAAATACTGTATCTGCTTTCAGTGTTAATAATTTT